CTTTTCCCCTATGACACCTTTATATTTTACACAGTTTTGACTGGCATTATATCATTGGATAGGGTTTCCCTGAGGCAGAAGGTGACTGATTTTTACAGGGACCATTTTTTTGTCTGCCTTTCCATTCCATTCTACTTTAGAATTTGTTTCCTGGCAAATGTTCTGCATATCCCATATTGTTAATTTTAGTTAATCTGAATCAGGTAGTGGATGCTCCTGAGATCTTGACTGTGATTGGCAAAGTTCCCTATCTTTCAGAATTCTTAAACTCCCTATATGATTGTCGGTACAAGTCATTTTTCTCTGCATTTGGTGAGTAGATGCCGGCCATATCTCATTCCTCTTAATATATTCTGAAAGTATCATCTGGCACACTCAGCTAGGGTTGCTAATTGCTAGGATGTAGTCGATTTCTGCTCTTCCATCTACGATTAGAATTCATGTTCTTATTTTGTTCCAATTGAAATTTATGTCAGCTGGGTTAACGGAACAAATTAAGTTGGACCGCTATTTGCATCCACACTTTCGATATTACATGAGGGAGGTCAGAACTGTTGTTTATTCACAGTTTTTGGAGTCTTACAAGAGCGTTACAATTGAGGCGATGGCAAAAGCATTTGGTGTGACTGTGGATTTCATTGATCTGTAAGTTGATCAACTATGACAGATTAAATGTTACCCTAATTTATTTTTGGAAATATTTAAAAATCTTTTGTGTTGTCCGTTCTGTTGACCTTGATAACTCGTTTAATTTATTTGCTTCCAGGGAGCTTTCACGTTTTATTGCAGCTGGGAAACTTCATTGTAAGATTGATAAGGTTGCAGGAGTTCTTGAGACTAACCGCCCTGATGCTAAGAATGCTCTTTACCAAGCAACTATCAAGCAAGGGGACTTCCTATTGAACCGGATTCAAAAGTTGTCCCGTGTGATTGATCTTTGAAGCTAAGTCATCATTTGCAATTCAACGTTATAGCCAAAAAAATTGTGGAAAAGGAAGAGAGATACCGATAAATTTGAGGATTTTCTGTTTAATGCATTTTACTAGGGGACATGACTCGCTACATTCTGTGTGTTTTACTAACTAGTAGACAGTTTAACTTGCTGGGTCTCAGCTTTTTCAATCCAGTTTCCAATTTATCTTTCGAACTAAATTGAAAGATATGTGGATTTGACTTGACGTGGACTTACGCATGGATCATATAGGGAAAACCTTTTTCATGATGATAATGGAAATTGGGTTGACGAGTATACTTGATGGCCTGAAGCTCTAGTGGGACTAGGATTATAGAAAAGTTAAAGCGTACTGATTTTGTGGAGGACTTGATTTGATGTAAATTGTAAAGATAATTCTCTCCTAAACATTTGTTAGTTAATATGGTCACTAAGATAAAAATTCTAAATATGCGAGATTGGTCTATCACTTCTAACCACATGTTTTAAGAAGCAAATAATTATGTTGATTGGATTGCTCACTAAGCTCTTCATTTAGACGCAGAGCTCTCAATGTCAAACAATTTTCTTGTCGGGTGTTGACATCTATTCTTGTTTGACGTGTTGTGAGATGCATGCTCCTGATTAAATTTTCCTGAAATCTTTTGAATGCCTTGTTTTTTTTTTTCCTTCTAAAAATTTGACATGTTCTCAATGTGTGAAAATATTGTAAACGCCTCGCGATGGGAATAGGAGAGTAGTCTAAATTCAGATCAAAACCATAATAATCCTCCACCACCGAACATGAAGGGAAAAAAAGTTGATTATTCCCCTTTACAAATTAGTTTAGGTCCTTGTCAAGCCACCTCTGTGCTATGCTTGGTAAAAGATAAAAGTGAGGGGAAAATAATATTTCTCTTGCTTGGCTGTGGAGAGAAAAATGAGAGGAAAATAACATATAAAATTTACATGTTTTTACCTCCAACTTTTTTCCCCTAATATGGAGAAGTTTTGGATAGAAAATTTCATTTTCAAATTTACTATGAAATTTTAAATTTTATATTTGTAGTGTAGTTATATTTTGATCATAAACTTTTGTTAAAGAAGCTATATATTTAATTTTTAAATTAATTAAAAAATGTTAATTCTAAATTTTTAATTAAATTCTTTATATTTGATTGTAGTTTCAACATTTTAAATTTATTATATATTTAAAAATTTAATAAATAAAATTATAAATGGGATAAAATAATTTTCTGGTCAGTATTGGATAAAATAATTTGTAGCATGTTTTTATTCAATCAATAATATATGATAGAAATTATTGTATATATAATATGTTAAAATATTAAATTTTATCATATATAAATATTTGTTATAATAATAAGGTTATTATTGTCCATATAAAATTGACAACTTTTCTTTCCTTCTTATTTTCTTACTCAGCCAAACATAATAAGAAAAAAATTGTATCCCTTCACTTTTTTTCTTCTTTTTCATTCTCTCTTTGCTATTCTCCCTTGTGACTTTTGAGCCAAGCACAACATTAATTTTTGTATAGGAGGATAAAAAACACTAGGAAAAAAAATTCTTTTCTTCCTAGTTTTTTCTCTCTCTCTCTATTTTTCTCTCTTTTTCTTCTCACTTGTTCAATATAATGGGTGCCTTAGCTTTACCCAAAAAAAAAAAAAATGAGAGTTGTTCTCCTTGGTATTGGTATACTAATGGTAATGGGTAACGAGTGAGTGCTCTTAACCAACAGCTTTCCACAAAAGTACTAACGTGTAACAACTAACAACAGCCACAAATAAAAGAAGGACGTGGGAAATGGCTAAAGAGGCACCACAACTTTTCCCGACAATCAAGAAAAGAAACAATTGCCAGTATCTTCCAATACCACTACCCCACTCAAATGGCCTATTATTTCCTCTCTTCCCTTCCACGCCTCTCTTTCTTCTTCCACACTGCTACTATTGTTTTGATTTGATATCCACTATTTAAATACTTTTTAATCATTTTATTTCAGTTTTAAAATTTTCATCTAATGTTTTATTCAAATCAATAAACTCTTCCTAAAAAAAAAAGTAGCAGACAAGTTACTATTTATTCTATGGATTACTTAATAGAACATCTATATGATTAATTTAGAAAAGAGTAAGATTAAATGATCAATCAGAGGAATTCGAAAGTGCTAAGCACTGTATCGTTATATTACCGTCATTCTTTATTTCTTTCCTCAGTGCATCATGTATCTCACTTAAGATAACTTGCTACCTTTTTCTTTTTCTTCTTTGGGGTCAATCACTTCTTCTGATATTTGAATCTAATGAGTACCACAAAACCAATCACCAAATGAGTATTCTATGTGGCACGATATTTGCCGTTTGATTTAATCAAATAATTATAAGAGATCTTGGTATATGATATTTAAAAAATATTAAATTTTAAACTTTTAGAAATGTAAGGAATATTCTAATTGTGATAATTATTTTAAAATTTTGTAATGAAATATATCTAACAAGTGTTTTTTTTTTACCAACATATCAAACAGATGTTTGAAGTCATTATATATCATTTCATCTATTTATTACAATATTAAATTTTATAAACGTGGCTTTTTTACCACTGCAACATAAGTTGGAATAATACAATTTGTTCATTAATTTTTGAATAATTAAAGTACATGAACTCAAGCTGATTTTTTAATTAAAATTTTAAGAAATAAATATAAAAAATTTAAAGCCATTTAAATAAGGGTTAAAGGTCATTTTTGTTTCTGAACTGTATGCAAAAGGTTACAAATGCTTCTAAACTTAATTATGGGTCAATTCTGTCTCTTAATTTTAAAAATTTCTTTCTTCATTACCACGTCATTTTCTCACTGTTAGTGAGCCCCATATTATATTTTGAATATTTTTTTATTATAAAATATTTGAGTTGATGGGCAAAAATGACCATTCAAATAGAAGCTGAGGTGCAAAAATGACCATTAACCTGATAAAAAAATATTAAAAAATAGTGAGATCCACTAATGATTAATAATTGTTAAGTGTTTTTAATGTTAGGGTGATAATAGATGGAATTTTTAAAGTTGAGAAATGTAATTGACCTATAGTTAAGTTTAGATATATTTGTGACTTTTTGTATACAGTTTAGGGATAAAAATAACCTTCAATTCTTTAAATAATATATCCTTGGTAGATATTATCACTATTAGCATAACAATTACAAATAAGATATTGAAAATTAAACTAGTCAAGATAGTGATTTAAGGATTGGTGATCTAATCAGGGATCAACTAAGAATCAGACCATTCACGATTAAAATAATATAATTTGATTAAAGATATAAAAATATTCATGTAAAGGACAATAATATTTAAATAAAAGTATTTAATTCTTGAGTAAATGAAAAATTTATCCATAAAATCTTATACATGCTTTATAGAAATAATAATTGTAAGTTTTTGACAATAATAAAACACAACAACATTAAAATTATTAATTAAGAAATTTATATTTCGTTTAGGGTTCAAGAAAGGATAAAAAAACAAAGAAAAATACAAAATAATAAAATCTGATTCAGGTCAACTCATTAACTCATTGGGTTAGCCAGGTTGAAGCTGAGTCTAAGGTGATCGATTTCTTTAATCAATTGGACTGACTAAATAACTGATTCACTGGTTAATAGATTAACTTAGCCATGTCAGTTTTGGGTTTCCAAACAAAGATTATGAATCTTACATAAATATGCCACTCATTCCTCTTCCCCTTCTTCTTCTTCTTCTGTTTTTTTTTTTTTGGAAAAAAACATAATCTTTGGTTTCTATAATTTTTTTTAGCATTTTTAGTTCTTATAAAGACTAAAAATACTGAAAAAAAATATAGAGATATAAGAAATAAAGATCACACATTCTTTTTAAAATTATAGAAATTGAAAATAATAAAAAATATCAAAATTAAAAATAAAATTCAATAAAACTAAAAAAGCGATGATTATGCTCTTTTATTTTTTTTTTAATATATATGCCACTGGTTCTGTACTCATCAACCTTAAATTAAACCTGAAGTAAAAAGAGCAGAGAATGACACTTCAGGAGCCACAATTTCTTGGGCATGATTCTATGATATGCCGTATCCTACGACGTAGCTAAGATTTTGTCTCTCCAGCGAGTCAGAGCATTAGCCACTAGTAGCTATGCTGCCTCTGCCTCGTCTCGATGTTAACGACATTAAGGAGAAGCTCTCCTCCCATTTCAGACCTTGGCATCGATCCTATCAGTTCTGGGTTCGGGCCATTGATATTTACACTGGATATAAGGTTTCAGATCAATCAACTTTGTCTTTGCATGTTTTGGCTTCGCCTTGAAAGTTGAAATTTGGTATTCTTTCGGAATTTCTTGTAGGTGTTCCAACTTAAAGTGAGCTTTGAGAAGGATGAGCTGAAACACGAAGCATTGTGGGAAAAACAGCATGAGGTTGCTGCGGATAAGATATACTCTATGTGCACCGACCTTGGAGGTTTCTTTCTCAAGGTATTCGATTTTCCCCTCCTGAATCTTGTCATGAAGTTTTATTCTTTTGCTCGTAAATGTCGATTCTGAGTGAGCTAGAGATAATTGGAACGGGGTTTGCTTGCCCCATTTCATTTCTTGACATGGTTGCTTCGATTATCGTTATTCCTCTCCCAAATTAAGTACGGATTTCTTTTCCCTTATGTTTTACTTTTTTTTTTAATGTATATAAAATAGTTATATTGGATTATTACTTTTTGGAACAAGCGGATGAAGTGGCCTGACTTCTGTGGCTTGTGTTCATTCTACTTTATATAGAAAATTATACTGACTTTGATTTTTAAGGCAATTTTGTGGCCGTTGGAGTTTTCTTTATTTCCCTGCTGCCCATTTTACTCATGGTTTTGATCTTTTTTGTTATTGCTGATATTATATCTGGGACGTCGTATGAAAACAGGTCGCCCAAATTGTAGGGAAGCCTGACTTGGCCCCAGCGGCATGGGTGAGAAGACTTGTTACCCTTTGCGATCAGGCTCCTGCAACCCCGTTTCACACTGTTAAACTAGTGCTGGAGAAGGAGTTGGGTCGGAGTATTGATGATGTGTTTGAAATGTTTGATGTGGAACCCCTTGGATCTGCTTCAATTGCTCAGGTACTTCCATCTGAGTGAAACTGACCTGCTATTTAATCACTCCCACAAGGCATGCCAATCATTTCAGTTGCAGCATTTCTGTTCTCTCTTTAGAACACATGTTTATGTTTTTTTTTTTTTTCAATTTATGGATTGAATACTTTCCCCGGTATGCTAGAGCACTACTGAAAGATGATTTTTCGGTTCTTGGCATCAAACAATTATTAATGCAGTCACTGATGGATTTGAAGCACAATAGAGCTTCTTTGCCTGTACATTTCTGATTAAGAGTGGATGGTTACATTGGAAGCCAAATTGGCTAAAGGATCAAGTTTTTGGCTCATCAGGGCGCATTTTCTTGAAGTGTGTAATTCATGTTGATGTCAAGTTACTTAGGGCGTTTACTGCGCTTTATATTTTGTTTATTATTCTTATGTAATTTAATCGGGCAACAGAATAATTTAGTCCTCAAGTTTTAAAAATTCAATGGAATTATGTTTTTATTAAAAAATTACATACATAAATCACCCTTACTGCAGTTCATATTGATGTTCCTATTATGTTTAAGTCTTCATTAGTGTGATTCGTAACAGTCATATTATGATTATTAGAACCTCGTTCCAAGTAGTTGACATATGTCATGTGCTTGTCTTAGGTGCATAAAGCAAAACTGAAAGGTGATAAGAATGACGTTGTTGTCAAGGTGAGTGTTTCTGACAAGCACTTGGGGTCTACAACATATGTAAGCTTCTGATTTTGTTTGCATTAATAGGTTCAACATCCTGGAGTTCAGGATCTTATGATGACTGATATCCATAATTTGCAAGCTTTTGCTTTATATATGCAAAAGACCGATATCAAATTTGATCTATATTCAGTGACAAAGGAAATGGAAAAACAGGTAAGTAGTAGTGCTGTTCTAGGCTATTTACTGAGTTCTAGTATTCTGCATGTCTTATTCTCTTGTTTTCCTGTGTTGTGGGTCTTTTTATTAAGCTCTGACCTGATTGTAGTGCCCTAAGCAAAGTTGGACAAATATGTGGGATAATTGCTCAGTCTGGTTTTTAATTACAGATTCAAGCGTAAGTCCTATTGTCAACAATGAAGTATAACTTTATTATATACAGAGTACATGACGGATGGTGGGATTGGAATGCAATTCTTAATAGAAATGTTATATGTATATTTCCTTTTTTGCCTTACAATTTTTGTGAATTAGCCTTACTTTTTATGCTAACAATAATATTATTATGTTAGAGTAATGCTTCTTACATAATATTTACTTGCTCTGCACAAAATGCTGATGTGACTGCATCTAAGTTAAGTTTAAGTTTGGCAACTTTGTATTTGAATTCACTCACACCAGCTGTTTGTGCAGTCTGTGAAAGTAGTTACAACAGTGTAAGTAGCATTACTGGTCAAGTTAATATTGGGATCCTTCTGGCTAAATACCATGGCTGGTTTTGAACTTCCGGTTGATAGTATTCTGTCATTTTGGCATTCCAGATTGGATATGAATTTGATTTCATGAGGGAGGCAAGTGCTATGGAAAGGATTAGGAAGTTCCTGTATGAAAACAATAAAAGGACTCCTGTTCTGGTGCCACGAGTAGTACAAAACTTGGTTTCTAGGTATGTTATACAACACTGCATCTTTATATTGTCTGGATGACAACATTAATTTTGGACTAGAGTACAAAATTTAACCTTGGAGTTGCAGGCATTTGTTTGGTTGACTTGGATTGCATGGTTATTTGAGAATTAAATTGACTTTTGTCTCCAAAAACCAAATGTTAAATTCTTCTCTGCGCTAGCTTTACTAATCTCTTTATGGCTATCCTGTAGGGTTTTTTTCCCCCATTTTTTCTGAGAAAAAGTTTTGTAAATTCAGTAGTTCGGCTGATATTTATTCAGACAAAATACCAAACAGTGAAATGCTTGCGGAGCTTGAATGTGAGCAGTCAACTTTGGGCACATAGTTACCGTCTATGACTAAAATTCTGTACTGTAAAAATCTAGGATCATGTTAAGGTCATCTTTTTCATGTTATAACAACCACAATATGTGATGGAAAGCACTATAATTGATAATAACAAGTAAAAAGTTTATAAAAATAAAAATAAAAATGTTTGACATGTATTTTGTTTGGTAAGGAATTTGTTTGCTATATTCAAATGTTAAGTGATTAGTTTTCAAGTACTTTTCTATTACAGGAGAGTCCTAGTTATGGAATATATTGACGGGATTCCGATTATGAACCTTGGTGATGAGATAGCAAAAAGAGGCATTGATCCTCGTGGTAAGATAGCAGCAGCAGCAAAGCAGTAAGCTCCTGAACCGCTTTGATATTTTTTAGGCGTCCATGTCCAACCTTGGATTTTTGGTTTTGAAGAAGTGTCATACACTGGAAATTTGGCAAGAGTAATGAGGGTATTAGACTTTTAGTATTAGGTATTCTTTGAATTTTTGGACCAGAAGACTTGCTGTTAGATACACATGTCACTGGTGCCTCTCTCTTAAATTCAATGAATTACATATTGACAAAATTCTGATTTTCAGCACACTCTTATACTCTCTGGTCCATTACGAATCTTCAATACAATCTTATGCTTGTTCAGTGTCTTCTTTAAGGAGTATTTTTTACTTTTACTTCCATATTTTCCATTCATTCTCTCAGTCTTCTTCCTTTTCATGTTTACGCCAAAAAATTCCCCCTCAAAGCAGGGTGTTGTTAACTGTAAAATTCTGAAATTTCCAGAGTTTCTGAATAACTCTGGTTTTGTCTTTTTTTTTTTGGTTTCATATATTAAGTAAGGCCGACAAAACAGCATAAATGAGAAGAGAGATGAGAGATCCATGATTATATGATCTCAAGTCCCTTGATACAAGCGTCATGGCTCAACTAATAAAAACTTATAAATGACGAAGATAAACAAAAATCTGGGATCTAAAACATGAGACACAATCATCGCAGAAATCATAAGCCAGTATTACGTGGGCACCACCACCCTCTAAGGTTGGTGAGATGGATATTGTTCTGTCCCAACTTGTCATTAAGTCTTCAAAATTCACTCTAGATAAAGCCTTGGTCAAGTTGTCGGTGACCTGGAACTATGTGGGAGTGTACATAAGATTAATGATTTTGAAGTCTAACTTCTTGATTATCTAGTCAAGCTCCACATGTTTGGTCCAATCATGATAAATTTGTTTATTACAGTGCCCATAACAATTATATTATCACCTAACACTCTCCTGTTGACGTTCTATCAATTATAGAGCTGTCTCTGTATCTCAATTCCTCTCACTTGTCTCTTGAAATATTTAGCTTTACCAAGAGTCATCTTAAGGTTTCTGAAAATCTTGTACAAAATAAGAATCTTCTTAAATGCTCAGTTGTATGTATGCTCGTGAAAATTACAATATTAATTGTCTTATAAAAGTGCAGGAAAATTCTTGAAAGCTTGACTCTAGCATATGGTCAAATGATTTTGAAGAGTGGATTCTTTCATGCAGATCCTCACCCAGGAAACATTCTGATTTGTAAAGGCTCAGAGGCAAGTCTTTAATTTGATCATTTTCTTTATTCTATGAATATCCTCTTTGTAAAGAAGACATTTTAATCACCAGCAAATGCAGTTGGAATTTAACTTTTGCTGTTTGATCCACTACTCATGAATAAATAATTCTGAGGCAAAATATTGAACATTAACTTTCGCTCTTGATGCTTAGTATGTTGTTTTCACCACCCTAATCTTGGTTTCTTGCCTCTAGTCAGGTTGCCTTGCTAGACTATGGACAGGTGAAGGATCTCCCAGAAAATTTGAAGCTTGGTTATGCTAAACTTGTTCTTGCAATTGCTGATGGTGACCCTATAAGAGCATCAGAGAGCTTTAGGTTATGAAGTCTGCATTACAGTCTTATATATTTAAAACTTCTTTGCTTATTTGTTGAGACTCGGAAGAAAAATTCAAAGTTAAGGCTGGGCAACTAACTGCATATTCAGCACTTCTGGGTATCGGTAACAAAAACAATGAATAGAAGTTAAGGAGTTCTGGTAATGGAGTATATGGTAAGAGACATAGGCAAGATGCAAGAGAGTGGGGAAGGGCATAAAGGGAAGGGTGGAGCTTGGAAGGAGAGGAAAATTCTCAACCATTCAATTTCTTTTCATAGACCTCTTGTCCAAGGGTACCTAAATTAACAGATGAATCCTAATTTGCCAGAAACCTGGAGGCTGAAGCCCTGACTTGAATCTCAATTCATTTTCAATAAAAATGAAAGACTGGGCCATGAATTGATATATAAGCTTTATGAACCAAATATTGAAAACTTCAGTAAACATCATAAAATCTTATTATTCTCTTAGTAGTTAGTATATTCCTTGATCCACTTGTTACTCTCTCCTTATATAAATCTTTATTCTGATGTTCCTGTTATCAATGGTCAGCCAGAATGATTTATTTTTCTTCATAACTGTGAATTGAAGATCCTCATTCTACTGGTGCTGTTTTCAAATCTGAATATTTAATTGTTTTACTCCATTTTAAAGGGAGCTTGGTATAGATACCTTGAGCAATTGTGAAAATGAGCAACAGGAACTGTTTAAACTAGCAGAGACGATGTTTGATACAAAACTTCCTCCTGGGGTGGCAATGCTGCAGCCTTTCTCAGAGGACTCTTCCATTAAAAAAATTGCTGTTAAGGTATGTTTAAGAATCTGAGCAGGCATTCAATATGGTGATAATAGCTTGACTTTGAGGAGAGGAAAATTGTTATCAAACAATGGAAATGTTTTCTTTTAGAAGGGATATTTTTGTTGATGGAACAAGCATCATATGAGTTGTCCACACTGCTACTTTTCGTTCCCTGACTTTGTACTGTTCCTGTGCTGGTCTGTTATAGGCTTTTCCTGAAGAACTCTTTTCGGTACTTAGAACAGTGCATCTTCTGAGGGGACTTAGTGTTGGTCTCGGAATCAACTATTCATGTGCAGAACAGTGGAGACCCATTGCTGAGGAAGTTTTGTATCAAGCTGGCAGACTTAAAGGTATAAGTATAACTCTAGGCTTATTAAAATAGATGGAATATAAGCCTTCAGATGGATTATGATTCTCAACATCACCTGTGTGTAAGAGCATTCCTGCATATTTTCTTCTCCCATACATTTACAGATCATTTCTGATCTTCATATCATGATGAATACCTTTTTTGTGTCTGATCCACCTTGGTGTATCTTTATCCTGTTAGAACAGCTATATCTAAATCGCTCAATTTTTTTACGTGCTATCCTTTCACAGGTAAGGATGTTAAGCCCAAAAGACGAAGACGTGGTTTCTTAAAAAGATTGTTTAGGAGAGACTAATAACTTCACACTTGACAAAGGGGAGGCATCAACCTGCCTGTTCTGGTTTGTTGAGAAACTTGTCTATTCTTTGTTTATATTTCTATGGGAATTCATTTATCTCTTGTATACGGTACATGAATTTGACATTGATGGCCACTAGAAGAGAATCTAGGCCTCTTGGAAGATTAACAGTGACTTTGTTGGTGTATCCCGAATACATCTTTTGAATAGGTACAATTTCAAAAGCATTTTTGTTTATATATACATCTGCCTGATTGCCACTTCTTACTGCCCTCGTGATGTTGTTTTGAGTTAGGACAAGAATCAATTCTCTTTCTATGTTGTAAAATTTTCAGAATACGTAGTTTGACATCTTACAGCCCTTCGATATTGTATCTTAAACTTCATGACGCTTAACTCGACCGCTTGTACATGCTGCTTGTTCAACTGTTTAAGGAGCTTTATTCACTATATTCCCCATTCTTATAACTCTACCTAGAGCAGCGATCGTGAGTTAGTTTATTTGAGTTGGTTTGAATAATTTGTTATAAGAATCAGGATATGTTGAAAAAAAGCTATCCCAATAAAAATGAACCTTTTCTAAGCCAAACCAAGTAACTCATGAACCAAATGGACCAATTTTGATAGGTTAGGATTGACGCATTTAATCAATATTATTTTATTAAAAAACTTAGAAATAGAAAATGGAGGGAGTTTTGGCATCATAACCCCACATGACAAGTATGTTTAGAATGAATCAGGATAGAATGGATTAATCTCATACATATATGATGTGAATTTTTTTGCAATTGCATGAAATATCATATTAAAACTTGTTATTTAGATATAAAAGAACATATAAAAAAATTAAATAATTTGATGGGTTAGTTCATTTAATTTACCAACCCTTGAGAACTGGGTTGGGTTTTAATTTTTCAATCCATATGAAAATAAATTGAACCCAACCTAATTTATATGGGTAAATTCATATGGTTTGAGTTAGCCTATATTTCCTGCTCTAAGTCTACCTCATCAATGTATTAGATCTTTGTTTTTTTCCCCCTGTGAAAATCTTATGAGAGAAAGGAAATGAGTCATTTTGCATTATTGAATATTGACCACAATTATATACATCATCAAATTTCACTTGTTTCTTATTTATGGCTACAATAAGAATAGGCTAAAATTACTGTTAGTTTTGTATAAAAATCTTGAAAAGTCTTAGAATCTACCTTCAAAGTTATAGCCACACGTGTATATGCACACCAAACCAGCAGAAATCCTCTTTATTTCATCTGATTGATACTGAAAGACCAGCCAAACATGGAAAATTATTGATACTTATTCTCAACCCATGTTTGCAGTGCTTGAGTTCACTAAACATAGGTTATCATACATGAAGTAGAGTCAAACAAAAACAAGAAACACATGCATCAAACTTCCTATATGCGAAGCTGGTCTTGTTATTAACACCAAATATCTAGCAAATCAGGCACCAAAAGATTCAGCATTTCCAGCAAGAAGCTGCAACAATTGGCTTTGATTGCCACCCAAGGACCAAGCAACCTTTCTCCTCCACAACAGTGTAGCCATCACAAACCTGATTCTTCTGAAGCCACTGCTTGGCTTGACTCACCATCTTCACAGGTGCACCTTGAAACCCAGCCCTACTCATCCTCCGTCGCCACTGGTCTAACCTCTCGTGCCTCTCCACCCTCGCTGGTCCCTCGCAACTGACAATGTTCTTTATCTCCTCTGCAAAATAGAACTGTTCTATTTTTGCTCTCTTAGTGTCATACTTAGGCAACATAGCATCCAGAGAGTCAAAAATGGCAGAGTAATAATGAAGTGCTTCCATGAACCTCCCAAGGAAAAAGGGTCCATTATGGCTTGAGTCCTGCTCAACCATAACCAAAACTTTTGGTGAGAGCTTATGAATCATCTGAAGCACAGAGTTTAAAGCCCCACGACTCTCTTTTACAACACAATGCAACTGAAGAATGCTATTAACCACAACAACCTCCTCATCATTCACCTTGATGTCATCAATTTGCAATTTTTCTAAGTTCTTTCCCACCACTGAGAACTCCAGGTTAATCCCCAAGTTATGAGCATAAAGTTCAAGTTCCTCACCAATCAGTTTGAGTTTCTCAACACAAAGGCCAACCCCTGTAATTCGAAGGTGCCGAATAGGCTGGCCCGGGCGGTTAGCCAGGCTCTGAATTAGTCCCCTCCATTGGTGACCATGGGGAAGACCAAGAGTCATCCCAAGGTCCACCACATGCACAAAACTGTGGTTGTCAAAGGCTTCCAATATTGTGGCATTAGCTACAAAGTGACCAAACTTAATGTGTGGGCAAATCTCAAAAACCAATTTAAGTGCTTCTTCCGTTTCTTCTGAGGCTATGTCCATAATATTCATCATCGGTTCCATATTCCCCACAGCCCCAATCGATTCAACCATTGCGAGCCGATCAGCTAGCCCTTGGACAAAACAAGAAGCCACTCGCTGAAAGGGTGAGCCAAAGACCAATGCATTTGATCTCAGTTCAGATAGTAAAATTGAAGAATGTGACTTGTCACGACAAGCCACACCTTCAGCACAATGAACAAGAAGCTGAACAAGTCTCATCCCATCAGCACAATTCCCATCTCGTTCTTCAGCTTCAGTTGCCTCAGGATAGGTCATGTCTTTCTGTGCTGCCTCTTCAGAAGCAAGATATCTCTGAGTAATAGTCCATATGTGGTCTCTGAAATGGAGCTTTGGAAGGCTAATCACACTGTTGCTTCTGCTGAGACTGCTATAACAATCTTCACTTCCACTGCTTGAAGAAATGCTTCTATAATCTCCAAGAACTTCTGGGATGCTTGGAGATTTCTTCAACCTCTTATTGTTTCCATTGGTTTTATCAGAAAATGGAAGGGTCCAAGGCGGAGGAGAAGTTCTGGTTTCAAAAACAGGGAGTAAATGAGGATAGGCAACGCAGCCAACAGAGGAATTATAAAAGCCAAGGCCTATCATAGGATTATGATCATTATTATCACTTAAATGGCCTGTGAGGGCTCTATACGGAGGAGCCATTGTGGACAATCTTGAGCCTTTTCTTCTAAAGATTTTCAACAAGGCTCTGAAAGACTGTTACTACAAAGGATTGGTTTTTTTATAAACCAGCGTTCGATGATTCCTATGTTTTGTGGCCTAGGTACGTAACGATGTGTGATTCTGCAGAATAATTCTTGATTCACAGTTGTTTCTCGGGGGACATACATTCATTAATTGGTGGATTAAACACAAGAAAATGTTTGCTTCGTTGATGAAATAGAATAACCTTGTACTAGGTGTTTGTTTCTTGTTGTCTAGTTCCTCTTGGAATTTTATTCTTGGCCAGATCCTTTTATGGGGCGCTGCATTGTTGGGAATTAACAAGAATCGCCTAAACAGTCAATTTTGAATTACCCATAGAACTTACAAAAAGATGGGAACTATGATAGCAGTGAAATGAATGGTGCATGAATCTCACGGATTAACAAGTGAATTTAAATAAAATTTCCATAATTAATGCTAATGATATGAGAGAATATGCTTTTAATTTTTTAATTCATTTACAATCCCTGTGTGCTTATATTTGGTGTCTAACAATGCTTCAAATATAATTTTTTTAATAGGAGGACATATGCACAAAAAAAAAAAAGTTTCAATAAAAAAGGTTACATGAGATGAATATTTTGAAATAAATCTTTGTTCTCTTAAGATATGTTTAAGAGTTAAGGAGAGGGATTAGCAACAAAGATTGGTCCAATAAGCACTTGGTTTGTAATTCATGAGATTGTGAATTCAAATCTTGTTATTAATATGAATATTTTCTAATGAGCGATGTGTAATTATCTCTGTAAATATTTTTTGAACACAAAGATCTGCTTTGATAAACTCTCAAGACCTAACTTACTTAAATTTTATTAAATAAAAAGGAGTTAAGAGAAGGAATTGAAGCAAAAGAAAGGAAAATAAGAGTTCAAGATAATACGAATTCTAAAAATGAGAATATGTGATAATTAAATAATGTTTTTTCTTTGCTCTTCTAAGTTTTACCAAATTATTGTATATTATTTTAGGATTAATGAGCAAAATAGACTTTAAATTCTTGCTCAAAAAATGCCTTAGACCTTGAATTTTTAAAATATATAAAATAAATTTTAAACTTTTAAATTTGTAGCAAATTAAACCTTACCGTTATCTTTTTTTAACGTCATTACTGTTCATCATAGGTCTCAGTTAATTAGTACCATAGACCCTAAACTATTATGCGAGTAGCATCCTGGACTCTAAACTTTAAAATCTCAAGCAAATTATCCCCGTCATTTATGTATAGAATGTCGACCATTATGTAGACTAAATTAGCCTCAATTTAATTCGTCGTGATAAATGCATCATTGGCCGCGGTGAACAACCCATAATTTTGTAAAGTGACATTTTTTGCCCCTTCTTTTTTGCAATGTTTTTCAAACGATTGATATCTCATGCTTTCATATGCTCTATAACTTTGATTTAGTCTTATTTAAATAATATTCATTTATTTAATGATGAAATTTTAGGATCCCATTGAAAAAAAGTTTAAATATTGGAGAATTTTAATTAACCAGTTAATTTAAGTTTTAAATTCGTTAATGAAATCGTCGATTTTTGCATTTATTGTCTATAAAATTCTATGATACTTAAACTTTTTTTTAAATGAGGTCTCAAATTTTCACATTAAATAAATAAACATTATTCAAAATAAGACTAAATCAGACTTGTAGATTATACAAAAGTATAAGATATCGATCATTTAAAAAATATTGCAACAAAAGGAAAAAATATCATTTCACAACATTATGGATTGTTTGCTATGGTCAATGATGCATTCACCTCGGTGAACCACGCTAAGGTTAATTTCATATACATAATAGTCAATATTTTATACATAAATGATAGAGATAATTTGCTCAAAATTTTAAAGTTCAAGATCCAGGAGGTCACTCATATAATAGTTTAGAATATGTGGTGCTAATTAACTGGAGCCCATGTGAATTGTAATGATGTTAAAAAATATAATGGTAGGATTTGATTTGCCATGAATTTAAAAGTTTAGGGTTTATTTTACACATTTTAAAAGTTTAAGGTTTAGGACATTTCTCAAGTAAAAATTTAGGGTCTATTTTGCTCATTAACCCATTATTTAAAATTGAAAATTATATAAGATACTCCTTTTGTTAAAAAA